GAGTGCAACCGAGCGTGCTTGGTGGTTCGACCGACTTCCTACGGCCATATACTAATTTTCTTCTCGTTAGTTATGGTACCGGTTTTAAAACCGAAGAGCTCGTTATATCCTGGAGAAATTCCCGTACGCCGGAAATAATTCCTTAGGACAACGTCTGACGCGTCTCGAGCTTCTAATATATTTCCAGTTCTTTTTAATGATTATTTTGCAGGTCAATTATCGGAGCTAGATGGTCAACGAGTTCAATTTACACTACAAGAAAAAGTATTATTTGCGTCAAACTTTTTTTTGCGTCGACTAAAGTGAATGCAAATAACTACTCTTTTTCGTCGACAAGTGAACGCAAATGACATTAATTAAAACCTTCCGTAGGTCTTGTACAATTTCATTATTTGCGTCGCCTTGTCCATGCTAAAAGAGTTTGATTATATTTGTGTCGTCGAGGCAAAAAACGAAATGTAAAATGGTCAAGAGTTTAATTCCTGGCCCAGCCTACAACCTATCCCAGTAGCCCACCCTTATTCAACTGACCTAAATACGCATAACGCATACGCGAAGAAGAAAATCGAAAGAAGCTGCAGCTCGAAGTGCGCGAAGAAGAAAAATCGAAGTGGAAGAAGCTGAAGCGCTCAAGCGGCAAGCGCGAACCCTCCTTCAGCCATCCATGTCGCCATCCAGCCTCCAGGGCCCTGCATCGGTGGCGGCCGGCTGTTCTGCCATTTTGCTCTGTGCTATGTCTCCTGCGGTCGTCTTGACCACTCCTGTCGTCATGCGCCTCCAGCTCTCTGCTCTCCTTTAGGTAAGTTTTATTAATTATTACTTTTATAGATTTTTAACGTATTATAATTATAGTGTGTTATTGTTAATTTATTGTATTATTACTTTTAGATTTTTAGCCTTTTAGGGTTAGAGTCCACAACCTGTTAGGAGCTCCACCTACACATCACAACATCTCCCACCTCTTCAGTTGACTCTTGCTCTTTCAACGACTTCAAGGTAACCTCTCAATTTCAGAAATTAATTTGCATAAAGCCCTTGTTTCAAAAGCTTCCAGCAATGATAAAGTCCTTGCATAAAGCCTTTGTTTCAGAAATTTCAGAAGCTTTAAAAAGGCTTCAGTTAGCCCTCCATCAGTGCTTTAAAGAAATTTTCGAAAGTAATAAATAAAACCTAAGGTTAATTTTTTAAAAAACAATTGCTTCAGTAAATAGATGTTCAGCTATGAATGAATGATAATACTAAATTCGTTTATCATCTATTATGGAATGATAATGTTCTAAAATTATAAGTAAGCAATTTGGAGTATGCCATGTGTTCTGGAATGCTAATGTTCTAAAACAAATTCATTTTGGAATGAGTTTTGGAATGATAATGTTCTAAAACAAATTCGTTTTATAATAGGTATGTCATGTGTTCTGGAATGCTCCTTAATCAATTTGATTTGGGTAAACTTAGAATATAAGTAAGCAAAACAAATGGTGAAAACACCAGCACCTAAGTTTTGTTCATCGTGTCTGATTCAACTTATATGCTAGTTGCATCCAAATGTTGTTGTGAAGGTAATTAATTCAGGTTAGGGCTAAGTGGATGAGTTTGACAGTTTTTAAATGTGTTTATAGTATTCTTGTTCAATGTACTAAATTGGTCCTAAATTAATTCAGGTCAGGGCAAAGTGTTTAGAGTATTACCTGCTAACACTTGGTTTGGAAGCAAAAAAAAAAAGGTCCTAAATTTACCAAGTACATCTTTTTTTAAATCCGTACTACATTATGATTTTAATTTACATACTTCTTAAATGTGAATGCATAGAATTGTTCTCCACTATCTCAAATGTGAATATTGAGACCACTGGTTTTAGCAGTGAGAGATGTCGAATAATAGAGATTGCATTAAGGGACCTAGTTGGAGGTGAAAATAGCACTTTACAGACTCTGGTCAATCCTGGGTGTTATGTGAATAATGGTTTTCTGTTCATGGAATTTCGACTCATATGGTCTGCAGGCTTTATGTACCTAGGTATATTAAACGAAATATATTGGTAGGTTCCTGTAGTAGTGTATGCATCTTAGTGTCTGCATTTATGTCATTTGTTGGGGTGTTTTGATTGCATGACTTATTTTAGGTTCAATTTTCCAACCTATCCTGCTGATTAAGTTTAGGTAAGAACTAGGGCTTTCTAATATTGTGACTTGTGTGATAGTAGAATTATATTTTGATGTTGCTTAAAAGTAATAATCCTACGTCCCAAATTAAACTTCTTACTTTGAAGCCCATTTGAGATTTTGTGCAATGGTTTGTTGGCTGATGTAGAGGAAGAATATTTTGATTACTGATCGACCAGATGTTAAAATTTCCAACTTCTAATTTCATGTTAATGTTAGTTATTGACCATTCATGTTATTTTGGATATTGACAATTATAATGAATATTAAACAGGATGATCCAGAAATTGGTGAGCACTACTCAACTCTTGAAAATTGGAAAGATCAACGTTTGGCTCGTAGTGGTGAATGGAGAACTAAAGAAGCACATGAAAAATATGTAAGTATATTAAAAAGTTTTTGTTAATTGTAATCATAATGATATGTAACTGTATGAATTGTAATTTGATAGATTCAAATGAGCGAGGAGTAATAGACACAGCTAGGACAAACAGGAGTTGATGCAGGCAAATCATGAGTTCATGCTCCGTGCCCTACAACAATTTATTCCTGACTTTCAACGTCCTCCACGCAGCTCCGCAAATGATGTTCATTCAACATCAAGTGCTAACCAAACTGACCAGAGTCTCAATGAAGATGATCAAGATTGATAATATCGAGTTGAATATGCATTTACTTGGTTAAGATGAATATGGATTTATTTATGTTTACATTTTGTGATGTTGTTTGTAATGAATTAATGAACCTTCGTTGTAGGATAACTAACTTTTACTATGACGTTTAATGAATTTATGTGTGGTTTACATTATTGGCGTTTGAATAGATTTTGGTAATATTGGTTATTAATACAAGTTGTGTATGAATGGCAATAGACAATGTGGAATTATAAAATGGGTGTATAGTTTTATTTGCGTCAACTAGTGATGGACCTGGGCCGGTCCGGTTCTGGGGTCGGGGCCGGACGGGCTTTTTTTGCAAATCCTTGGGCCCGGAACCGGCCCGGGTTGATACCGGGTCTGGGCCTAACCGGGCCGGGCTCGATTCAATGTCTATTTTTTTTTTTGCTTTCTTGTTATCCCCCGACCCCCCCCCCCCCCCCCTCACCCCACCCCCAAACCTCCCCAAAACACCCAGCCCTACCCTAGGAAAAGAAAAAAAATTGAAAAAAAAAATTGACCCGGGCCCGGCCCGAACCGCCCGGGCCGCCCGACCCGCCCAAAAGGGCTAAAAGCCTGGAACCGGCCAACCAGTCCCGGTCCGGTCCGGGACCGCACAGTAGCGGGCCGGGCTGGTTCCGGACCGGGCCGGGCCGGGCCGGTTTAGTCCATCCCTAGTGTCAACATGTCGACGCAAATAATATATTAAAAAAAAAAAGACACGGTTTTGGCGCCGGCTAGTGGATGCTAATGATGTCATTATTTGCGTCGGACATGTGGACACAAATAAACTATCACTTTTTGCGTTGACTTTATGCATGATTACTTTCGGAAGATCTTTTCTGTCCATGTGTCGACGCGAATAATACTTTATTAATTGCGTCACACGTTGTGGACGCAAAAACATTATTCGTGTTGCGGTATTTGCGTCGACATGTTAGTTTTAACCTAACAATACTTTCATAATTCTTTTTTTAATTAGTATTATCTCCGGAAAAAAACTCTACTTACATGGTATGTAGGGCGTAATATTAAATTTCTTTTTAATGTGAATAAAAACTAAAAAGCGATAATTAGACATGTCAATAGGTCGGGTTTGAGGCGGAACGCAGTGTTCCAGGCCCGGGTTTACTAAGTTAATAATGGACCCGAACCCAACCTGTTTACCCTGTGGGTCTGAAAATTTGGACCCAGACCCAAACCTAACGGGTCACAGAATCGGGTCGGGTAGACACGCCAAATATGATATGCACATCATGATAAACTTTGTGAAAATAACAAAACTTGTATATGAAATGTAACTAAAGCAATTTGTGCAAACTTAAAATCAAAATATAGCTTCATTAAAAAAAATCAAGATTTCTCTTAGAAAATTAATACTTTTATCTAATAAAGCACCGGTTCTTGTAGAGGAGACGTATAACTCCACACTCTATGTCGCTTTCTCTCGCACAAAAAAATCCGTAGAATAAACTAGAAATTGAGTCATAAAAGGTCTCTTGGACTATTGAAAGTACAAAAATATATTATATATGATAATGATTTAATAATATTAATAATAATAATAATAAATATTGTGCTTTGCCTACCGAGACCAATAGACGCTATATCAGTATGTATAAACGACCAAAGTGAATATTAGCTTTAGGGTATCTCACTGTCTCGATCAGTATCTCTTGTATAGTAGGTATGTATTAGTGTGTGTATATTCTGAAGTGAAGAATTTCAACTACTAACTTTATATATGTGTGTGTGTGTGTGTATTATTATGTACTTGTATATATGTGTTTATATATTAGTTTGTCTTTTTTATTTAAAGTGTTATAACTAATCACTTTTTGTATTAGTATGTAACCAAGCATTCCAGCCCAGCTGGTTGCGAGGTTACCGTGTCTAGTGAGAAGTCTCGAGTTTGAAACCCGGTAGGCACATAGAGGGTTGAAACTCAATGAGCTGAATTTCAGCCCTTATTACTCCAGGCCCCCCCAAGCCCCCCTGGAGTAAAAAAAATATTAGTATGTGTGTATACAAATAAGAAATTTTAAAATGGGTTGGAATTTTTAACGGATCGAAATCATATGTATTATACTCGAGCCATTTATTAAAAATCCTAACGGATCCGAATTCGAGTTCGGGTAAAGGAATAAAATATAGCCCAATAGACTCATTCTCTTTAAAAACAACCGGTATCAGGTCGGTTTGGGTTTAGACCCGACCTATTGACTAGCAATAATGGTGGACTGGTGGTCTATGATATCCCAAGTCGTCTGGCTTGCCACAGCGACACACTGATGGATCATCTCTGTTAACGAACCGAGTTGCTTCTTACCTGTTCCTTCTCTGCCTTTCTGCTCCCTGGCGCATTGGTACTTCCCTTCGTCACCTTCACATTTTAACTGTAATTATCGTGTAGAAAGTTTGTTGAGAGTTTTTATTATGCGTAAGAAATGAATAGCTATTTATTTGTTAGAAGTATATATTACTTTCCTTACTGATTATGTTACTTTATGCTGTCCATATCTAAGAATTACGAACTTGTGAGTTTGCTCGAGAAAGAATGAGGCTTTACCTGTAGCTTCAGTGATTTTAGATTATTTAAAAATCTTTTAATCAATTTCGTACTATGGGGTGTTCTTAAGCAGCATGTTATTTTGATGCAGGGTATAGTGTTGAAATAAATCTGATGAAGAGTTGGTCCAACTCCCCCTAGGTATAAACTAAAGAGCGTATAACCCCTTAATAGGTTCTAAATCGTGTTGGATAGTCCTTACATATCTGAGCTCTTTTGGGGGTTTGGCAACACTTATTCTTAACAAAACCCTATGGGAAATTACTGAGAGTTTGAGGCCAATTCAATGAACTCAATTCCTAGATGGTGATGACGAAACTGTACTTATCACACCTTTATATATGCGGTATTGTTTGTTGGGTATTTTTTGGTATAACATTTTCTAACATAATTTGTATTGTTTATGGAATTAGTGGTCCTTTGTGTTCCTCCTTGCTTTCTTCTACTCAGACTTTGTCAAATAGTGATGAAGTAGACCTTGATTGGTAATATGTTGCATTTGGGAACCTTTAGAATCCTTAGCCTTCAAATGGTATAAAAGCATAGTAAACCCAAAAGAACAAGATGATCCTGAGATACACAAAAAAGGAGCATACATTTTCAAAACTAGTCTGTTTCAACGTGTCATAATGTGTTGGGACTTGTTAAGTCATCATTATTCGAATAAGCGGAAAATATAGAGTTATAAACCTGCATATAAAGTATTACTACCTCCGTCCCATTTTATGTGTTCTGCTTTGGTATGACACAATTATTAATAAAGTGATTAAGATTTGAATATAATAAAGTAAAATGTTGTGACCACATATTTCTTTCCAAAAAAGGGAATGTGACACTTATTTTGGGGCAACCCAAATAAGAAAGTAGAAAAGGTAAAATGGGACGGAGGGAGTAGAAATTTAGATACTCCTTGTTCATCTTATAAGAACGGAACCTATTAATAGTAACAATGTTCTTGTGAGGTTACATGTCGCGTGTTGAAGTTTTTTTGAGAAGGATGTATAAAAGATATATTTTGGAAAGCACTCTCTAATATTGTCATTATAAATACCCCTGGGGTGCATGCCATTAAACCAATTTAAGCTGCAATGCTTTAAGAAGAGTATATCATATCTTTAAAGCGAAAAACAAACACTTAACAGATTCAGAACCATGAATCCAGAAATGACAACTAGCCTAGGGAACCATCCCTGCCTTTTCTCAAGAAGAGTTCATGTGCATTGCTGGAAGGAAAGAAGTGTCATCGGTTCATATTTTAGTTATCTTGGTCTTTCTTGCATAGAACAATGTTCTCCAAGATGTAAGAAATTTATGGGTTGCTGCAAACAAGACGCTAGAAAACCTTGGAAAACTTTTGCTTCTAAAATGGATGGTGGTGATAAGGATCCAAATGAAACGGAGGATGAAGTAGAAGAGGAGATTTTGCCTGAAAACAGCACTGGATCTGTAAGTTGGATTGTTGAATATCTTCTTTCCTTTCAGTTTTATAATTGAACATAAATGGTTTTGAGTATCTTGTATCGGTTGTCTACTCATAGCGTGCATATTATGTAAGTGTGCTGTAAACCTCGTCAATTGAGATTCATTTTAGAACGAGTTTAATATGGTATCAAAATCTGACTAGATAGCGGTTTATGGAGTGCCTGTCCACTCAATGGTTTGGGACAGCCCTTCAGGGTTCACTTGTTCACCTTTTAAGTTGTGCCGTACGGTTTGGGTTGATGAGTTGTGTTAAATATCTCGCCCAGTGGGTTCAAGTCTAGTATATAACTATATAAGTGTGTGGTAAACCTCGAGAATGCTTATGGATTGAGTTAGGCTAGATTGAACAAAGGATTACCATGGCCTAGCTTAGCTAAAATGCACACCGTCTTGAATTTTGATATTGTTCTCCAGTAATGCCCCCCCCCCCCCCCCCCCCCCAATGGAGGATGATAGTGCAGTACTAACCCCTTACACTTACCCTTGGCTTTGGGGCCCTATTGGTGCGTTCATACCTATGGGCATCAGTTTCACTGCAAAAGAAGGAAAACCAAAAGTCAGCAAATAACAAATCACACAAATCTTCAAGACAAATGACAATCAGGGATTTGAGAATCTTGGGAGATTTTAGCTATCATTAGCAGATTGCAACTTCTTTATGGGGTTTTTTCGGGTAGTTAACTCAGCACTAATAAAAAATCCCCAATGAATTCCGAGAATTCTGGTTATAAATTTCTTTATTATAAAAATTTAAGAGGGTTCTCATTTGATTAGGTCGTGGGATGTATATCTATATCAATTCTACATTCTACAATTCTATTTTTCGTTAAGGGTTTCGTCAATCCTTGTCTTGGAAAAGGATTTTTTTGTGGTCCAAATTAAGGGCCCAGGAAGTTTTTGACTTCTACTTGTAACTAGTAGCACTAGCAATCAATATATAATAAAAAAAAACTATTTGACAAGGATTGATGAAACCCTTAAAAGAAAAAAAAGGAACTATTCATACCTTTTGGAATCAAAATAAGGAATGTAAGTCCTTTATCTTTTTGTCATCATCAAATTCTTTTCGCAATACATATGCTTGTGAGAAGTTAGATAAATCATCAAAACTGGCCAATAGTAGGTCAAGAAATATTGAATGGTGATGTGGGAGGTTTTTTTTCGAGGAATTCAAATAACCTCTGTTTTGACGTTTTTATATTTTCCAAACTCTGTAAAGCCTAAGTAAAGCCAGTTGAATAATGGAATCGTATGCAACTTTTGAACAACAAATGTCTGAGGGAGTTTGCAGAGTTCTCAATAAAATAATTCAAACTACCTCCGTCCCATTAGAAGGTTCCCGTCCACTATTCACATGGTCAACTTAAATCATTTTTAATCTTTTACTTCATAAATCATATTTTTATCAAATTTACATTCTTTAATTGGCTTTGTAGCGGTTTTAATGTAGTTTCCGAATATGTAAATTTTATTTACTAAAAATAATCAGAGTGTGAACAAGGATTAAGTTGCTTTATCGTCAGTCAAGCATCGTAAACCGCCAACGGGAACCTTCTAGCGGGACGGAGGGAGTATTTCATACTATTGCTATAGAAATCTGCTTACCTCTAGTTATTCCCAGTATTCCCCATAACAGCAACCATACCCAAACCTACGATATCTCAATCTTCCCTTGCACTCACCTGAAGGCCTGTGACGAGATCTTGCATGCAAGCTGCTAGTATCACCTACTCCCCCGACATCAAGGATTTACCAACTAGGCATTGCCAAACTTCAGGCTCCGTACCGTACTGCTGTATGAATCTAATTGATTTAGAAAATACAACTAAGAGGTTGTCTGTTTGGATGGAGGGTTTTTGAGGGTTCGCAGGTAAAGACTTTGGATCACTTGGTCTATATCTTGAATTCTTGATAAATATTTTAGGTTTTTGAGGGTTCGCAGGTAAAGACTTTGGATCACTTTGGATCAATAAATCATGTAATAGTGTACCAGTTTGATAGGAACCTCAACAAACGCAGTAGAAATAGAGTAATATATATTGATCCAACCTCAGATTTGAGAACAGAAATAACGAAGAAGAACAGATTTGAGACACTTAGAGCAGTCTCCCTCTGAGGAAGCGGCCCAGCTCAGCTGGTCGCCGACTCACTCTCCCTTGTGGGAGGTCCCGGGTTCAATTCTCAATGGAGTGAGATTGATCCCAGTTTACCCCAGGCCCCCCAAACCCCCTCCCCCGACGTCCCCTGGGGTAAAAAAAAAGAGCAGTCTCCCTCTCCCAAGTCCCAGTCTAAACCCAATTGCCGCCTCCTCTCTTTCCCCCCATCCTGCTCTTATTATACTCATCTCCTAAATGGGCCAGCCTTAGTTACTAAGTTACCGGGCCTAGAAACCACTTATTGTACAAAATCAAATACTTAATATTATTCTTATTACTAGTATTGTCAAATACTTAATATTATTCGTATTACTAGTATTGTCTAGGTCCCTATCACACTTCAATCACCTTTTTGTTGTTTAAAAATAAATAAATTATTTATCAAGATACAGACCCTCCAAAGCCATCTAGAGTTCAAATAGTTTAATACGTAGTAGTTTATTATGAATTATAGATATCATCTCTTTTTAGTCAATAGTAAAAAGAATGTGCTTATAATTTTGAAAGTGGATTCAGGTGAATAATGATATATTAAGAGAAAAGTTTGAGAGAATTGTTGGCAATGATGATTCTTCGTTCAGTGGAATTGACCTCGCGACTCTAATACGCAATAAATATGGTCGTTCCTATGACATTCAATTGATAAAGAAGGTATGTACCTTCTCTTTTCTTCTCTTTCATACATTCAGACCTTGATCCACCTCTTCTCATAAATAGACGTAACTTGATCCCATTGAGATTTCAAGATTGCTGGTAGTGATGAAATGATAATATTTTCTAGTGCCAAAAGAGTGTGACGGATGAAAAGAAAATTAGAAAATTATTAGATTTGAAGCATGATATTAGTCTCCACCTTAAATTTATAGGGCATCGGCAGTGGCACTCTTTATTTTATGTTACTTGAAAGTTCTCAAATTTGGAATTGCTTTGTGAGTTTTGTATTGACAACTGTAGCCACAACCGGTAATGTTGGAGAACAGCATGATTTAGTTTACCACCCTTTCTGTTCTCAGTTTGATCCTGAGAAATAAAAATTCATCAGGGAGAACTTCAAAAGAGGGTTATAAATATACATCCTTGGTTAGACTAGAAGGAAGGGAATTAGAAGGAAGATAATTTAATACTTTCGTAGTAAGGGTATAATGCTATATGGACTATACTGCCTTTTTTAATTGAAAAATAATTTTAATCAATCAATAGTTACAAATTTTACATCACATATTTTTACAAATGTATGACATAACTATATCAAAAGTAATAATACATTTCATAAATAATTTTTTAGAAATTACTCCAAATAGGACTCTAAAACTATGCCAAAAACTCAAAATAGGACTTACTATGTTTTTCTTTTCAAAATAGGACCATATTAGTCCTATTGGAAACATACCTATTTTTTCATTCCATTCTTACCCTTCTTTTAAATATGAGTTAATTAAATGTTTAATTCATAATAAATTCGAAAAATTTCAAAAAATCGTAGAAAAATAATTAAAAAATTTATAAAATGTTTATAAAATAAAAAATTAAAAAATAATTTTTTTTAAATTTTTTATTTTTTAAAAAATTAATAAAAAATAGTAAAACTCCATAAAAAAATTAAAAAAAATATGGATGCATTTCCCACCACCGGTAATACCAACCTGAACCACCATCTCCGGCCGGTGAAAAAACTGCCATTTTCCCTAAAAACTGCCATTTTTTTCTGAAAATGCCAAAAACATGGCATATTTGTCTTTGAGAATGCCAACATTTACATTTTTTTCTGCCATAAATATGGCATTCGTAATGAACTTGGCATTTTTTCCCCTGGTGACTGGAGGTGGTGGTGCAGAGGCGGCAGAGGCGACGGTGAATTTTATTTTATTTTTTTGAGTTTTTTTTTTCAAAAAACATTTAATTTTTTTATTTTTTGAAAAAATAAAAAAATAAATTATTATTATCGAAATATTTTTATTAATTTTTAGTATTTTTTACGAATTCTTTATTATTTTTTATTATTTTATTATGAATTAAAACATTTCAATAGCTATAAGGGTATATTTGTCCAAGACACACATAATTAGTCCTATGAAAACAGTTTATTTTTTGGTCCTATTTGTGCAAAGTGAGTGATTTTTAGTCCTATTTTGATAATTAACCCATAATTTTTTTAAACTTTTAATTATAAGAGCCCGTTTGGTAGCACGAAAATCGGCTGTTTTGGCTGATTATGCTGATTTAAGAAAGAAAAAAATTTAAAATATATTTATTAATAAAATAAAGAAAAAATTATATGTAAAAATAGCTAAAATGTTCATCTACATTAACTTCATCCAATACAGCCAGAAAAGTAACTTCAACCTTACTTTTTCTGCTTATTACACAATTCAGTGCGCGAAAGTAAAAGTTACGTGTTTGGTGAAAAAGTTGGCTGATAAGCCTCATAAGCCGAAAAACGGTGTTGCCAAACGGCCTCTAAACTGTTTGAATGTAATTAGAGAGAACTATCAAATAAGCCCTCGAACTTACATAAAAAATGCAAATAAGCCCTTTTATAGGAGGCTATGTCCGGCTGTCGACATTTGGGGTGGTTCCCGGTGGAATTTTTTGATGAAACTTTTTGAGCATCTTATTCATTAAGTCTAGTTTACTCATATCAAATGTCAGCTACAAATTCAATCGGGAAGGCAGTCAAATGAATTTTTGAAGATAACTGCGCAGTTAGACAGCGCAGTATATCTCAGAAAATCATTTGACTACCTTCTCGGTTGAATTTTTAGCTGAAATTTGGTATGGGTAAACTAGACTTGATGAAGAAGATGCTCAAAAAATTTCATCACGAAATTCAACCGAAAACCGCCCCAAATTGCGACGGCCGGACAGAGCCTCATATAAAAGGACTGATTTGCACTTTTTATGTAAGTTCGAGGGCTTATTTGATAGTTCTCCCAATGTAATTATCTATGATTATGAATATGCTTTATCAAATGAATAAGATAATTAAGAGATGGTTTGGAAGCAAATCTTGAAGAAAAATGTGGGGATACAATCATACAACGTGTTAGAGAAAATAATTACATATTTAGGACGAGGCGAGCAATTTAGTCCACAGAAAAGAATGGGCCATTTTCCATGCAAGTTCCCCCAACTTTGGAGGGGAGGATTTTTTTAATAGATTTCCCTTTTTTCTTTACCCAATGAAGAGGAAGTGAGCAAAAACTCTCCTCTCCCATTGAACCCAACATTTTAATGTTCTTTTTTGGCAGGAATTTATGGGCAAAAATCTCCTGGCTCTAAATGTAATGTGGAAGTACATGGAACAGGTGAGAACGTGAGATCTGTTCTTTTGGTGCAGGTTTAATTTATGCATAGTGTTCATCATTAGAACATTGGCTCCTATTTGTTTTCAAGTTTTTTAAACATATCAGTATGCTGGATAATGTGCATACTCAATTTGTACTCAGTGCAGATTTCTCTAACCCACTATGTGGTTGTACTATTAAATTTTGTAAATCTTACATAGTACTTTAGTATATAGTAACTGTTGAGTAAGATTAACATATAGGTTTATGAACTTAATATGCATGCATCTATGATTAAATTCACATCTGCCATATTCTTTACTTTTTATAAAAAAGGCTCAAATTCATTTGTTTCCGCAATTATACTTTCCATCATGAATTTAAAAATTCAAAATTAATAGTTTTTATATACTTACATTTAACTATTGTTCCAAAAAGGTGGAATCTCCCACCCCAGGAGCCCCCCACCCCGACCCGACAGGATGGTGGGGAGGTTAGTCGCGGTGACTCAGTCAGCAGAATGGTAGTAGGCCCATACACCCGTGCGCACCAGAGGCCCAGCCTTATTTCAGGTTCTGTGACCTCCACCCGGTCGCTGCGGGGATTCGAACCTTGGTCCATTGTTCCAAATTTCCCACCACTCGACCAACTGAGCTACCCGTGCGGGTTATACTTGCATTTAACTAAATAGTACTACATGTGTCCCATTTTATGTGTCCCACTTTGGTTTGACAAAATTATAAATAAAGTGGTTTAAAAAGTAAAACTTGTGGTTGAGATTTGAGTACTCCCTCCGTCCCATATTTACCTCCTAAATTACAACCCACACAAGGATTAAGACAGTGGGTATTGTGTGATGGAGAGTTGTGCAGAGGAGAGAAATGTGTAAGAATGTTGTGAACCACAAATTCTTTGCTAAAACGGGAAAGATGAAATAATTTTGGGACATACGGAAAAGGAAAGTTTGAAGATAATATTGGGACGGAGGGTTCCAATATTATCAGTATGCATAGTGATCTACCCAAAACGGGAAGATCTGTTCTTTTATTCATTTAGTTGTATTTCTGATGCTTTGCACCATACTTTGATTAATGATAATTAATACTAGTATCTCTTTATGCAAAAATAATAATAATTAATACTAGTGTCTGTACACACAAAAACTATTTTTGTAAAACAAAATTAACTTGAAACAATAAAGAAACAGGGAAAAAATATGGACTAATAATGACATTCTTCCTTAAATATAATCATAACCAAAACTAGAACCCAAACCCAAATACAAACATTTGTGTGTGATGTCTTAGATGTAGATATACAGTCATATAAATATAGATATGTATACAAATTTAGATACAAACTTTTGTGGTAATTTTATATAAGAATTGGCTTCAAACAACAAATAATCTGATCACCTCAAACTGATTTTCTATTTTATATCGAAAAGAATCACACTTTCTCATACAGATAGATCATAAAAAAATGACTGTGATTCGAAAGAAGGATTAACATCCATGTCGAACACCCCAAAACACCTATCTTATGTCAAATAAGAGATTTGAGGTCTTTGGTTCAAATAGGTCTGCAAAGTATGAATTTTATACTTGTGACTTTTCGAATGCTTGGATTATAATATTGGCTTCATTATTTCCATTTGAACTCCACGAAAAACATACTTTGGTTTCCATTTGTAGAGGTCCTTTCCACTTACAGAAGAAGAGTACCTGCTTAGGCTAGATGATGTAGCTAACACATTGAAGTGCTGGGGAGCTGTCTCACATGTCCGATGTAGTATTGAAAAGTTGAAAGAGCGGCCTCGGGTGGGCAAGGTAATCTTTGATAATGATAATGATAATGGAGTAGTCTTCCTGTCCTGAATTTCAGACAAGACCGCTGTCCGGCCACCTCATTTAGAGGTGGTTCCAGGTGGAATTTTTTGATGAATTTTTGTGAACATGTTCTCCATGAAGTAAAAATTATGTCTATCAAATTTCAACTAAAAATTCAATCGTGAAGTCGGTTAAATAATTTTTTTGAAAATAACTGCACCAAAATGTATATAAAAACGCATTTATTTGTCAATAAAATATGGATCCGGTGCCTCTGCCTTCTGTCAAAGCAAAGACAACACCCTTTCTTTCTACACCTGCTCATTCGTGTCCCACTATTTTGTCTGGTGCACACTTCGATCATAGCATTAACTAAACGCCTCCCTGTCTGAAATATGACAATATTGAAAATATGACTTTGTTTATTGAGTTATGTTAGCCCTCATAACCTGTGGATCTGTATCACAGGCTGTAAGCATTTTTATAGATATGGATGCATCTGGGGGTCGCGCAAGCGAATGGATATACAAGTAGAAACTCTGCAAAACTTTGAGAGAATTATCAATGATGATGATATGTTGAGTGCTAGTTTCATCACAAAGAACAAACACATATTATCTCAATGTGTCATCTTAGGGGGTGGCATAATACAACTTGTTCATGCCTTCTACATTGTTCTCCTCTTTTCTGAAATGAATCTTTCTCCTCCTCTTTGTAATATTATGATCATGTACACCTTATTTTAAACCTCTTGATATATAAAAGGTAAGAAATAAAACGATTGCACTTAATATCTCATGAGTAATTTTTGTTTAAAAATTTGATATTTCATAAACTATCTCTTGAGCACCTATGATAGAGTCAACTATACCATTTGAGAAGTCACATTTTATAAATTGAAAGCCAGATGTGACTTACTACAAAACAACATGAGAATAAAAGTGTGTTTTCATTAAAGTAAAATAAAGTGCACATCGACCATGCTAATAAAAAGAAAAGAAAAAAATGATCCCGGCAAAGCGTTGTATCCCGGCAAAACATTTTGCAACAAATGTTTTATGATTTGAAGGCTCTGTGATGTTTTATTTTTTCCAATTATTTTATGTGGAATACTTGTTTGGACATGGGGTGGGGATCAGAGATTCCATCTCTCCAAATCCACGAGATAAAAATAACTATGTAAGTTAGAGTACAAATCAAAAGAATTTCATAACTTTACCTCAAATTATTTTGATATTTGACTTTATTACTCCCTCCGTCCCGTTGGAATGTTCTCGCTTTCCTTTTTTGGATGTCCCGTTGGAAAGTTCTTATTTCCCTAAATGGAAAGTTATCCTACATCAAAACATGGTAAAACAATGCAAAACAGTGTCAAACAGTGTCGAAATAGTGTCAAAATAGTAAAATTGACCCCCTGGTAAGTTTATTTCCTTAATATGTGTGTAGGTCAAATCGGGAACATTCCAACGGGACGGGGGGAGTATATTTGAAGCTCAAATTGTTGAGATTCAAATCACGTGTTGGTAAATTTTTTATTATTCTCATTCTTGCTTTGACATGATGAGGCTCATGCTTACATTTCTACCTTTAATTATTTGATATGCAAATGCAAGGATAATCCTAATTATCTTATTGGGTCGATATGTTTTTTTTGAAAGAAAATAATTTGATTATTATAGATAAAAATAATAAGAACAATTACAATCATATAGCTCAAGACTACAATAGGATTAGACACAGAAACAGACAATTCAAATTGAAAATGTCAGAGGAGTCAATTGATGTGAGTTTTCTCGCACTTAAAATAGATTGTAATATAGTGGTGTAAGTACGAGTATCGTCTCCACGGGGACGGACAAAAGAGAATCAAAGATTAACTAAATTCAGCGATTAAAAAGAAAAAAATAAAAATGCGCCGTGCGAGATTGGTTGCTGGAAAATAACAATGTGAATAAAACGATTAAACTAGGGGGTTCTTTCTAATTAATGACGAAGGGAACATGGATTGATTCCAGGGTAACCAGATTTCTGGCACATCGGCCTAATTACATGAAATTAATTCAATTGAGCCTAGCTAATCATTACTAAATTCTTACCGCTCTCGTGGCGTAGAGTACAATAATTTAGGGGACCAGACTGATCTCTCATGCGACAGGATCCTAAATTATTGCCAAGACGAGCGAGCTTACGGCCCCTTAATCGCTACTAATCCCTTAGCGAACGATTAAGTGTGTGTGAATGTGTCCTAGAATAAACTAGATCTCTCTTAATTTATTCTATAAGCAGTTGTAATTCTAGCCGCGGTTCCAGGTTACAAAAGATATCAATTAAATTATTCAAACACAAATTAAACGACATTCATGCAATTAAACCATCAAGAATCTAGCCATACATTATGATCAACCCCTTCATCAATCCCAAATCCCTAATTAAAATTACTCACAATTCATAATTGAAGAATCAATAGAATTTGGAAGAAAAGAATCAATTGTCATTAATTAAAAAGGTAGAACTTACAAATAATCCCAAAAGATTGATGAACAAGGCTGAAAAGCCCTCTAAAATTCATGCTATGAACTCTCTCTAAGCTCCCCCTTGAAAACAGGGGTTTACAGGCTATTTAAATAGAAAAATCGGGTAAAATTTGAGCTGAATTGGGATTTCCAGAGGCAGACACGGTGCCAAGCACGATCGTGCATTTGATCGTACCTCCGAAGTAAAAATGCGTATTTTGGGCAGGCACGATCGTGTCTCCCTCCAGGCACGATCGTGCCTGCCTGGCAGTAGCTCCGCGATGCTATCTCTTCACGCACGATCGTGCCTGACTTTGAGGGCACGATCGTGCCTACTTAACTTTCGAATTTGGCAATGCTTCCTTCATGAAAGTTGTAGATAATGAAGTCCTCTATCTACCCCAATTTGCCGAATGTGATTTTAATCATCCAATAAAGAGATATGATCAAAACGGTGGAAGATATTATTCTGAAATCGCAGCACAGATCATCTGACTTCATCGTCTATTTTCCCCTTCTTTCTCTCAGATTCTAGCAAAGGTGTCTTCATATGATTTGTAGCCCTTGAAGTTAGATTTCATATGGACTTTTAATCGTGTAAATTTAATATTTTTACGAAGAGATAGGCTTCAACGATTGACAGAAGGTCATCCTGAATGTCGTTTTCAAGCTCTATTTGTCTTCTTTTGATCCCGTAACCGATTCTAGAGCTCTTTTGTCTTCAAATCTTCATCGTGAACCTCATGGTGACCTCCAAAGCTCTCAATTATCTCTCGAATGCATCATCAATCATCCCGATTGTTTCTCAAGTGTCGGTGCTGAGCTCCAATTCCCTGATTTTGACTCCAAAAGACATAAAACCCGAACCAATGCCTGGTAACATAACTCCAGCTAAAATTGGGACTTGTAACACCTTAAAGTTATGAAAACCATCACAAGTTGATCTAAACACGCATCAAATGCGTGTCTAAATACGGACTTATCAGATTCCCCCACACTTAAGGCTTTGCTTGTCCTCAAGCAAACTGAACATCGGAACTTACGATAATCACCACACGAAATTAAAACAATCAGCACGCATAGGTAGTTAAAGTGATATTCACAGAACAGACAGACTAAATTAAGAAAATTCTTCCTTAAACTACATCTTTGTACTCAAGCTAAACAATTTGACAAAATTATTCATAACATCCTTAAAGTAATGACAACATACACAAATAAACTAGCTGTTGATCAGAAGGACTTGTGAAGGTGATGGTGAATGGTGAATGGTAATAAATAGTCCCTTTCCTTTGAGAGTTTTGGAACAACCTGACAAAGACTTAAAGCATTCAGGAACTTCAGGGCTATTCTTAGGATCAAGGAACTCAATAGGTCACAATTTAGGAACAATCATCTAAACCTATGCAAAGAGTAGACATGGTGTACAACTGAGCTAAACCGCCGCGGCACATTGGTGCTTTGACGTATACTTGAAGTACGCGGAGGACTAAAGCTAATTTTGCTAAAGCCTCCAAGTTCATTAAATAAGTTCAGTTTTCCTTGTCATGTTGGCACCAGAATACCATTTCTTTCGAAAGATACCCAAGGTCTCATCTTATTGTGCAAAACACTTACGCTTTTTGACCGGAGCTCCAATTCTCTTTTTCGCAAGGTAAGAGGTCTAGCCATATTAATTTTTCACCTTTCGGATTCTAACTAGACATTACCCCATTCTAATCTCGGCCTCACCAAGGAAAAATAGCAATTAAAGTTCATTAATTTAAAAGTGAATCCATGCCTACAATGCAATCCTCGAAAATATCAAATTCCTAAAAAGTGACTACTCTTACCCCATTTGGAGCATAGGAACAGTGCCAAAATTGGCTCCTACACAAATTCCCTAAACTTAACAAAATAATTCTTTAGTTCCCTAAACATCAAGACTAAGTCAGAAATATTCACGGGTAAGGAAGCAGGCCATTTGGCTATGGAGCTCAATTAATTGGGTAAAGAACAAAATGGTCAGGCTCAAAGTGGCTTCTCCTAAAGGACTTATTTAGGTCTGATAGATGATTTAATCAATTCAATGGGTGACTAATGCCTTCATCCTCTCAACAACTAGATTATAGTGCAAGCAATTTAAGCCTAAACACTTCAAAGATGTTCTAAAAGCATAGTCAACACGCTAGCCAACTCACAAAGTCACAGTTTAAGGGGAAAAAATTAAAAAATTTGACATGACTTTTCTATGAATATACAACTAACACCTGCGCATGCTAACTCTAAAAATCTCATGTGACAACTACTGCCCGAATGCCCAATTCACACCCCCACACTTAAACTTTGGCATCGCCCTCGATGACCAAAAATGCACTATGCACAAGGGGTAAAGAGGAAAGGGTCACGCGTGCTCAATCTCAACTCAAGTCAACATTACACATAGGCGTTTATAAGAGTTGCAGAAACTTCCCTAAGGCGCTGGTCGGTGCAGAACTGAACCGAGTCAAGTGATCCTTGGCACATCATCCCCAAAGCAAGACCCTGAGCTGCAAAACAAACACAAAAACACAAAAACACATAAAAACAAAGAAATATGCAAAAACAAAAGTGCAGGAATAAGCTTGGGTTGCCTCCCAAGAAGCGCTATTTTTAACGTCGTTTGCCCAACGATACCTCATATGCTCTCAAATAGCAAAGACTCTAATGTTGAACTAATTTTCAAAGCTTCTAACTTTCTCTCAACAAATACCATCAGGTGTCGCAAATTCTTGATTTCTTGAAACCACGAAGGTAGCGTGTGGTCTTCATAACCCTCATCAGCGCAAAAGTGAAGTATGAACCTCACATCCTCATGTTCAAAATGTATCACAAATGCCTATTTCCTCGCTCGAATGTACCATGAAAATTCTGGGCACCTCCTCTTGACTCACTATCACTCTCCATGAATGCATCCCAATTCGTTTTGTCACTCTTCTCATTAATATCCTCCAAGAAGTTGTGATCATTCTCCACACAAAAAGAAATATCATCACCAAGGAATGGATCAAAGAAATCCAAATTTGGACTAACGTAAGACGAGTAATCATGTATGTGGAGCGGGACTTCTTTGTCATGGAGATCATCTACCTTGCTATCACTTTCTTGGAGCTCGTGATTATCTTTTCCCAACTCATCTTCAATGTCCAAACCTACCTCAATAGCACCATCATCACGACTGATCTTCTCCTTGCCCTCATCATGCGTTGAGACTAATGGTAAATCAAATGGCTGGGGGATTTCTGTA